TGTATATTCATCTGTACTTCACCTGAAGCAGCAGAGTTTTTCAGTAAACTGTACAACACTGCTAGTCTTTGCTTCATTCGTATAGTTGTGGAACATTTTTGTAGTGTTTTAATTTCTCAGAATGCATTTCAAGAGAAAGTAGTAAGTAATTCAGTCTAATAATGTAGTTGGAGCTTGGTGATAGCACAAGGACCCAACCTGCTCCCAGCTCCCAGATTTGTCAGGGGTTACCATGGGCTATTGATTTTATGTTTTATTTGACTGTGCAGGAGGTCAGCAGGGACTCCACAGCTTTTCAGCTGCTGCTTTATTCTGAATGAAAAGACATGTACACAGTTATTACAGCTGCTATACATATCSTTCACACAAACACAGAGCTACTGATTAAATCAGAAACATGAAACCACACAGGACAAGGCTGCTACCATAGAGATAACTAGATTAAAAAGTAAACATCACTAAAGGACCAACAGTGGTGCAACTTGAACAAAGGTAATAAGTGCCAGTCTAAAACAGAAATAGCTTAGTGGGCTTTTAATATATTATCTGTTGAGTGAAACAGACAGTAAATCTGACAGCTTCAAACTAATATAACAACAAAACTGAGGGCCCACTGAGTTCATGCTCACATGACACAGCAAAGATGAAATTGTTCAGAGGGAGTTAGTTTACTTGAATTCCTGCTGCTGTACAGCTAAATAATCCAGTAAATAAATAAAAYTTTGAACTAATCTATGCAATAGAAAAAAAACATGATTTATTATTTCTGTTTTTAGACTATTCAGTTGTCATCTCATTTTTGAATGAGTTATTTCTGTTTGTACCTACTGTAAAAGGGTAATCAATGATAAGTAAAAAATAAGTGCTAATTCTTCCCTGCTTTTACTAATAAATGTCTGAATCCAACATACTGCGGGAGAGGTTTGCAGTGATAACTCTGTGTGCATAAAGAAGCGAGCAGCAAGTTGCATTTAAGGTAGCAAACAAGAGCAAGGTTGAYTTTAATTTCCAAGGAATACTGTTTTGTTTACAGTTTTATTACATGGCTACAGCATGAACTGAAAGAAACAAGGCCGAGTCAGTAAGCTGWATGGGAGAGTAGGAGACAGAGAGGGAAAAAGAGGGAAACCAAAGGAGACAGACGTTAAAAATCATTTAGGCATGGATGAATGCAGCTGGTACAGATGGCAGCTTGAGCGGAAAAGCCTTGAAATTTGAAGCAGGGGTGTCAGTCTTTCTTCCTGCAAGTAGGAGACAAGGTGCTTGTGCACAGCACATTCTTTATACTATGGTATTTCCTCAAGGAAACACCTGCTTTCAACATATTCCTTGATTCTTAGGATTCCCCTCTCTGCTCTCCACAGAGTGGCCTGTGGCAGATATTGACAAAGTAACTGCAGTTTCCAATGATTGGAAGACTTTGTTCCAGCAGTAGATCATCATAACTTGAACCATTGAAATCAGATATTATTCATTTTYTTACATTGCTTTTGGATAACTTTTATATACCCAATACATTCTGTTGTAAGATGTTCCACTTCAGATGCAAATGAAACACTTGCATTCATGCCGCATGATGAGAGGAATAAGTATGAGCACAGGAGGGGGACATCATTAAACTGACTTTTATACTTGGTGTGATGATGGAGTCATTGCAGCTGTAACAGAATAGAAAATGCAATCAAGAGAAAATCTCAGAAGTGAGAAATTAGTACAAGGTAAAGATGTTGATTAAAAATGCTCAAAAACTTCTTAAATTGCAGAATTTTAAAATTCACAATTTTGATACTTGGACCATTGTTAGAGTCTCTGAATTTGTAATATTTCCCTTAAAATAATAAAGTTTGCACAAAAATGCAAACCACAGCAAAAATCAGTGGTTGCCAACCTACTTCCCTCAAAGCYCCACTTYCKTYCAAGCCAAGCTGATTTTAATTATTACTTTGTAAGCATGTTAGCGCAGTAGGGCTGTGTGTTGGCAAGAATTTGGCGATACGATACATATCATAACAGAGGGGTCACGATACGATATATCCCGATATATTGCGATACTGTAAGCAAGGCAATGTATTGCGATATATTGCGATTTTTTTGTCCAAAAATTCTATTAAATAAAAACCTTTTACTGAAAAAAATGAATAGCTAATGTTTACTTACAATGCTAATGCTACCCTTACTCTCAGGCGCTCAGGAGGTAGAGGAGCCAAATGGCTGGCTCACTGCTGCCAACTAGTGGTCAGAGGCTGAACTACAACATAAAAATGAACGGTTGGCAAGAAGGTTGGCATTTTAAACCTTAATAAAAATCGATACAAGGCTTTAGAATATCGATACAGTATCGGGAAATGAAATATCGCGATATTTCAGTGTATTGATATTTTCTTACACCCCTATAGCACATATATATATATTTTTTTAAAATTTTAAAATAATGTTTGACATAGCTAATATTTAAAACCCCGACTTGTTCTGACCATAAGGGGAAAAAAGAAAAAAAAGAAAGAAAAAACAGATTTTAAACTCTCCACATGTAAATGTACTTGCAAAGTCCATCCAATGAGGACCTCCACTCAATTTTTTAAACTCTATGAAAGAAAGTAGGAAAATTRGGTGTGTTTGTTTACCTTAATACGTGTTYGTAACCAGTGAGAAAATACACCAATATTTGAATGTTGAATGTGAAATGAGTTATGCAATACACCAGCGCTGGTCTGAACCACGTTTAATATGTTCTCTGTGCATTCAGCCCCAAAACCAGGATGTGTTGATACCTGTAACARCTTCTTCAGGATCTGACTCACCTACTCAAGTTTGACATCACTGGGGTGGAACACTGTCCTGCTCTGGGGTCAAATCCTCTTGATGTAATTTCTTTTTCAGCTCGTGTTTCTTTTACATTCAGTAACTATGTGTTGAATATGTGTTCAGGCCTGTAGCTACTTATATACTTCCTGCTCTGGGTGACCATATCGTCCAGCCACCCAGACCAGTCTGTACATAAAATCGTCAAATTAATCACATAAATAATCACACAATAGTTTATAACACTATATCATGTTACACCTAAGGAAAAGAACTACAGGACGTGTGGTGCTTTTAAAAATCAGTAAATAAACAACCCCAATAAATTTCTTCAACTA